CCAGGACAGAACCCCATGAGCTGTGTAAATAAGTACTTTCTCTGATACCAGATGTAAGACTCATCCAGTACCCATCAAAAGCCTTTTCCTCCATGAGGTTCTCTAATCATCTGATATCACACATTGCTTTTGTGAGTCAGAGGTAAAAGCAAATAACAGGGGGTACTGCTGAGCATAGTCGTGTTTTGTCTTTGCAAAGAGTGTGGGGAATTCTCTGTCGTATGGTTGGCTTCTTTTTCTTTTTCTATGTCTTTTTGGCATGACATTTCATGTGATGGATGACAGAACGAGACGGAGACAGCACCAGAAGGGGACTTTGTGAAAATGAAAGCATTTGTGGGTTGAGATGTGAAAGTTGGGAGCAAGTGGGAAAGCGAGTGAATACCAGAGCCCTTTCGATATAAAATGAAAAACATACTTTGCTGTGAGAGTGCATCTTCTCACACATTTTTAAAATCGTGGTGCTGGAGGAGAGATGCAAAAGGGCTTTGTGCACGTGGGGGAGAAATTGCCATCTCTGGGTCACACTTTACATGGCTGGGATTGTAAGGCTGTAATTGCAGACATGATAGTATGAAGTGAGAAAGGAAAATCCATATTGGGGACCCAGTGTGTGGTGCAATGGTTAGAGCAGGGCTGGAGAGCCTCAGACTGGGGCCAGGTAAGAGTGTGTCTCTGACTCTCTGCCTGGCCCTCAGAACAGATGGAATCATAGATTTGTGGAGCTGGAAGGGAACCCAAAGGTCATCTAGTCCAACCCCCTACAATGCAGGAATCTCAGTTAAATAACCCCTAGCAGATGGCTATCCAACCTCCGCTTAAACTCCTCCAAGGATTTTAAAATCCTCCACCACCTTCCTAGGTAGTCCATTCCATTGCTGAACAGCTTTTACTGTCAGAAAGCCGTTCCTAATGTTTTGTCGGAATCTCAATTTCCTTGTCATTTGAATCCCTTGGTTCAGGTCCTGCCCTCCGGAACAGCACGAAACAAGCTTCCTCCGGCTTCCATATGCAGTGGCGTAGCGTGGGGAGTGCAGGGGGGGCCGGCCGCACCGGGCGCAACATCTGGGGTTAGGGCAAATCCACAGGTTAGGTGGCGCAAATCCACGGGTTAGGTGGCGCAAATCCACGGGTTAGGGGGCGCAAATTACTTGCCTTGCCCCGGGTGCTGACAACCCACGCTACGCCACTGTCCATATGGCAGCCCTTTAGATATTTGAAGACAGCTCACCAACTCCCTCATCCCATCCCCATCAGGCTTGGTTTTCCAGACCCTTTTCTGTTGACCCGCTAGCAAATTAGCAGCCAGGTCAGATTTTGCAAGCAAGGTGTTGCCTGCTGGCAGTAGTTTGACCACACACACACGAACTCGCTGGCACCTTCTGCACCAGTTGCAGCTTCCAGACTAGGGGTCAGCAGACTTTATCAGCAGGGGGCTGGTCCACTGTCCCTCAGACCTTGTGGGGGGCCAGACTATATTTGGGGGGGTGAACGAATTGCTATGCCCCACAAATAACCCAGAGATACATTTTAAATAAAAGCACACATTCTACTCATGTAAAAACACGCTGATTCCTGGACCGGCCACAGGCTGGATTTAGAAGGTGATTGGGCCGGATCTGGCCCCCAGGCCTTAGTTTGCCTACCCATGCTCCAGACTGACCCCAGGGGCAGCCCCACCTGGCTGGCAACTGTTCTCCTCGCCCGTAAGCAATCTCAGCTCATCTACCTGTGACCTGTTCAAGTGGAGATGGCAGGGTAGGAGGTTGAGCTGGGAAATATGAGCTGTGCCTCCCCCCCAAAAAAAAAAATTGTCTCCATTGACTTTTTTGCAAGCCCTCGGCTCCTTGCCGTGCAGCTATTTTTAAAGATAATATTCCAGCGGAGTGGAAACAATTTTTGCCTACATCCTGAGCGCGTTTGTCTTCATCTGTTCCTAAGCTGTGATAATTAAGACAACCTGATGGAAAGTTCCCAGTGGCTGAATGACTTCATGGTCTTTTGGTGCCACAATACACTTGGATTTCGCTCTCCCAGTCTTGTGGCAAAAAGGTTTACATACTTTCTGGAAGGGCAGGGTGTGGCAGAGAGCCTTGGAAGGCTGTGGGCTTGGCGCGTCTCAGAATACGGGTCTGCTTTTTGGAAAAGCTACGCTTCAGATCACCCACATGTTATTGGCCTTGGTGCTGTTTAACTTACCCAGAGAGGATCCTTTCCTTCCAGGAAACTGCAGGGTCTGACTGTGATTGATTAGCTGGACTTGGGGCGCGTTTTGCCTTGTGGGTTCGGGGTGGCTGGCAGTGCTTTGAAAACGATTGCTGTGTATGAAAGCAGGATTTGAAAGCCATCCCAAAAATGCAAAAGCGGTTCCGTCCCTCTTCTGTCATGACTTGCAGACGAGCCTGGTTTCCAAACGATGTTCAGACTCCAGGAAGCGGGTCGGGTAGGAGATCAGAGGAGAAAAAACGGGGACAACAGGCCTACATTGGTTTGATAATGGGTATGTTCCATTTGGAAAAGGCCTGCCAAATTTTGGGGAAAGTTTCAGGCTCCATTGCACACATCACATGCCATCTGGAGCACTAGTGAGCCTCTGTTCCACTGCTGGTGGATATGGGTGCAAAATACAGAAATGCAATTTTATTTTATTTTTTAAAAATCCATTCAGGAAGGTGGGTTTATACAGTCATACCTCATGTTACGTTTGCTTCATGTTACGTTTTTTCAGGTTGCATCCTGCGACGACCCAGAAGTACCGGAAAGGGTTACTTCCGGGTTTCGCAGCTCGTGCATGCGCAGACGTGCAAAAATGACGTCACGTGCATGCGCAGAAGCAGTGAATCGCAACCCACGCGCCACTGCGGGTTGCGTTCCTTTCATGTTGCGAACGGGCCTCCAGAACAGAACCCGTTTGCAACCAGAGGTACCACTGTAATTGTGTTTTAACATTGCTGTGTCATGCATGACACCTGAACACACAGACAAAAGAATCATAGCTGTCAACCATCCCTTATTTGGCGGGAAAGTCCCTTATCCCAGCGCCATGTCCCGCTGCTGTCCCTTATGGATGATGTCCCTTAAATTTCCCGGGTTTCAAAGGAAGCAGCTCCTCTCCCTCCCTCCCTCCCTCCCTGCCAGCCAGGGAGGAGGGAGGCTCCAACTGGGTTGCTTGGCTGCGTTGCTCACCCAATAAGGAGTCTAAGAACGACTGGGGGATGGAGCTTGCATGCCTTGTGCCGATCAAATCGGCCGCCTTGCCTGGGGACTCGCCTTTGCTCAGCGCTTCCCAGCGGAGAGGTGACGGTGGTTTTCCTTGCTGCATCCCCTTTGCCGGGTTGCTGCGCTGTGGGAACCACCGCTTGAGGCTTCCTTTGGCTGCTGGTTGACTAAAATCCCTTATTTTGGCTGCTGATCCCTTATTTTCGAGGCTGCTGGTCCCTTACTTTCAAATCTGTAAGTTGACAGCTATGAAAAGAATGTCAGACCAATGTTGGATCAGACCAGTAAGCCAACCAGATGCCCTGATGGGAAACCAGCAAACAGATTCCGAGCACAAGAGTCCTCTCTCTTCCTCCTGCCAGTTCCAGAAACTGGTGTTCAGAAGTATTGCTGCTTTCAGCTGTGGAGTCAGAGCAGAGCCATTGTGGCTGTTAGCCATCGATAGCCCTTTCCTTCTCCCTGAATTTGCCCAATCCTGTTTAAAAGCACCCAAGCTGGTGACCGCTGCTGCTGCTTGTCGGAGCGAGTTCCACAATTTATGAGCTGTGCGAAGATGCACTTTCTTTTATCACATACAGCCTGTGCTTGTATTTGTTTTACTGTATTGTATTTGTACTGTATTGTATATTGTATGGCTCAGGACCACAATATCTCAAGAACTGCCTCTTTCCATATGAACCTACCCGGTCCCTGAGATCATCAGCTGATGCCCTCCTTCGTCTGCCTCCTCCTCGAGAGGTCCAGAGGGTGGCAACACGAGAACGGGGCCTTCTCTGCAGTGGCTGCCCATCTGTGGAATGTTCTCCCCAGGGAAGCTTGCCTGGCGCCTTCATTATACACCTTTAGGCACCAGGCAAAAACGTTCCTTTTTAACCAGGAGGCCTTTGGTTGACCTGATGGACATCCTACACCCTTTTAAAATGTGGCTCTTTTGGGGGGGTGTTATTGAGTTGCTGTTTTTATTCTGATTTTATATGTTGTGATCTTTTCTGTGAACCGCCCTGAGACCTCCGGGTATAGGGTGGTATATAAACTCAAAAAATAACAATAATAAATAACAATAGTATTTTTTCTATCGATTTTGTTTTTAATTGATAATCAAGTTTATTTTGTGTTTTGTGGATTTGTAAGACACTTTGAAGGATCTTTTTTCTGGAAAACAACAAATTATTATTATTATTATTATTATTATTATTATTATTATTATTATTCCTCCACAAACTACTTGGTTTTGACTGTGAATCTTAATGGGGGCATCACCTGCAGTAGCATCACCTTTATTTCCTCTTCTTCTTGTGGAAAACCCAGGTCTGGAAAGGCATGTTGCTGCTACAGACAGTGAAAGAACAATATATTACCCTTTTTTTCTTACCTGGCAGGGGAGACACCTTGATCATGAAGGAGGTTTTCCCAGGGTGAGGCTCATCCATTGCACTGTGGGTGTGCTGACCCCTGCGATTTCCCCAAATGCGGGAAACTCGACTGCATAATTTGTGGTAGTTCAGGGAAGTTTTCAATGTGTGGCATTTTAGTGTATTGTTGGTCTTTGTGGAAGCCGCCCAGAGTGACTGGGGAAACCCAGCCAGATAGGCGGGGTACAAATAATAAATTATTATTATTATTATTATTATTATTATTATTATTATTATTATTTATTTCCTCTTCTTGTTCTGCAAAGCCCAGATCTGGAGATGCAGGTATCTGCTGGCGTTGCTGCAACAATATATTTCCACCGCCTTCAAGCTGATGGTTCTTTTTCTTTCGTCTTGGGCCTGGAACAGGTGGAGTCTGAGGACCAAGTCCTGGCAAATTTCTGCGGGAGGGAAGCCACGGACACAGAGCAGACCCCGGGGCAGCAGGCCATTGTCTCCCCGGGATCTTTCATGAGCCTCACTTTCCGATCGGACTTCTCCAATGAGGAACGTTTCACAGGGTTTGACGCCCATTACACGGCCGTGGGTGAGTAGCCGCTTGGCCACAACGTGGGTTGCCCAGGCCGCTGGACTCCAAAGTACCTGCAGTTGACAACAGTTAAAATACCATATTTTTCGCTCTATAGGACTCACCCGACCATAGGACGCACCTTGTTTTAGAGGGGGAGAACAAGAAAATAAATTCTCCCCCTTTCTGCTCAGCGCCCCTTCAGCGAAGCGGCAGGAGAAATGGAGCCCCTTCCATTTCTCCTCCCGCTTGGCTGAAGGGGCGCTGCGCAGAGAGGGGGAGAATTATTTTTTTCTTGTTCTCCCCCTCTAAAAGAAGGTGCGTTCTGTGCATTCAAGGTGCGTTCACCCGAAGCCTCCGGAGCGCAGTGGGAGTTCCCGCTGGGCTCCGGAGGCTTTGGGTTCCTTTCGACCTGCTCTTTGGGGCTGGCAGGGGGAAGCACTGCTTTCCCCCACCGCCAGCCTCAAAGATCCCTGAAGCCTTCGGAGCGCAGCGCGAGTTCCCGCTGTGCTCTGCAGGCTGCGGGTTCCTTTTGCTGAAGCCGGGAGAGCAAGACTCTCCTGGCTTCAGCGAAAGGAACCTGAAGCCTCCGGAACGCAGCGGGAACTCGCGCTGCGCTCCAAAGGCTTCAGGCGTCTATCCCTGAAGCCTGGAGAGTGAGAGGGGTCTGTGCGCAGCGACCCCTCTCACTCTCCAGGCTTCAGCGAAAGCAACGCAAAGCCTCCAGAGCACGGAGGGAGCGCTCCGTCTGCGCTTTGGAGGCTTCGCGTTGCTCTCGCTGAAGCCAAGGAGCCTGCATTCACTCCATAGGACGCACACACATTTCCCCTTAATTTTTGGAGGAAAAGGTACGTCCTATAGAGTGAAAAATACGGTACACCAAAAAGTGTGGTTTTTTAAATACTACAAAACTAAAACCCACAACAAAGCAGTCTAAAACCCAGTGGACTGTATGCTGGCAAAAAGAGTGGCACTAAACAAACTCTAATTAAAATATTTGTTTGTCCCCAGTAAATAGTATTTGTTGCACTTGGATGGGTTTTTTAAAAAATGAAATTGCTGTATAAATGTATTTGTTTCAATGACTTGCACACTTGCTGAAGCCTCTGGACAGTCTCCCGGGGCAGTCACCAATACAGTATGTTGCGGTAGCCAAGCCTTGACGTTGCAGAACCACGTCATAAAGGATAGCAGCCAGGTCAAAATGGGAGGGAAACTGAGTGTTTGCTTTAGTAAATGTGTAGCAAACAAGACTCACATAGCATTCCAATAATTCAACAAAAGAGAAAAAAGAATTAGCAGTGGTCAGGTATAAGATAAAGAGGTTTAAGACAATGAGTGTGTTTTGGGGGGCGGTTATTGGTTTGTCTTTTTCGTTCTTGTGTTCATCATGTATTTTGTGTTTTTATGTTGTAATTTTTGTTTGTGTGAACCACCCTGAGGTCTGTGGATGGAGGGTGGCATACATAAAATAAATAAATTATTTATTTAAATAAAAATTAATAAATAAAATGATGATATAAAGGAAAATGGGAAGATAAACTTCACAAAAGAGGATCATTCCAAGTATTATGGCATCATTCCAAGATAAGCAATAAGCAGCTAATCCAAAAAATCTTACAGTAAAAAAACGGCGCCATATGAAATAATATTTGGATGGAATTTGCCATCTGTGCAACCATGTCGTTAAATTAGCTACAATAAACCACCAGGCAGATGCAAAGTCCAGCGAGTCTACTTCCCCTCTGAGAGCCCAGAGTTTGGTGGGCCAATTTCTCTGGTTTGGCTACAAATAAGGCTTTTAAAAACCAGTTTGTTGTAGAGTACACAGAAGCACCCTTCTATAATAATAGCAATAATAAATTTTATTTATACCCCGCCCTCCCCGGGTTCAGGGCAGCTAACACCAGTAAAATTACAATAAAAACATAATGGGGGGGACCAATTTAAAATACAGGTTAAAATACAATTTAAAATGCAGCCTCATTTTAAAAGTAGCCCATAGATCAAGGCCATAAGGGGAGGGAAAACTAAGGGTCAGACCGAGTCCAAACCAAAGGCCAGGTGGAGCAGCTCTGCCTTGCAGGCCCTGCAGAAAGATGTCAAGTCCCGCAGGGCCCTAGTCTCTTGTGACAGAGCGTTCCACCAAGTCGGGGCCAGTACTGAAAAGGCCCTGGCCCTAGTTGAGACCAGTCTAACCACCTTGCAACTTGGGACCTCCAAAGTGTTGTCATTTGTGGACCTTAAGGTCCTCTGCGGGGCATACCAGGAGAGGCGGTCCCGTAGGTACGTGGGTCCTAGGCCACATAGGGCTTTAAAGGTCAAAACCAGCACATAGCCTTCTAGCCTTGAGATCCGACGGAACGGGAAGCTGTTAGCAAATGAGGCAGCCGTATCTTGGTCAACTGAAGTTACCTCCCACAAACTTGGAAAGTAAGCACAACCTGGGGTCCATATAGATCTTTTGCCTGGCGACGGTGCCGGGTTCAAAAACCACGGAATCATAAAGGGTTTGCTTTACGAGTCTGCCACTCCCTCCTGTTCTGTAACAGATATCGATGAGTGTCTGGAGAAGAGCGACGAAGAGCTGGCCTGTGACCACCACTGCCACAACTATATTGGCGGGTACTACTGCTCCTGCCGGTTTGGCTACATCCTCCATTCTGACAACAGGACTTGCAAAGGTATTGCCCGTATCACAGTGCTGGGAGTGAACTGGGCTGGTTGCTCTGAAACTCGAGAGCGGGAGTGGGGAATAGGTGCTTTAAAAAGGTAAAGGGACCCCTGACCGTTAGGTCCAGTCGTGACCGACTCTGGGGTTGCGGCGTTCATCTCACTTTACTGGCCGAGAGAGCTGGCGTACAGCTTCCGGGTCATGTGGCCAGCATGACTAAGCCACTTCTGGCGAACCAGAGCAGCACACAGAAACACCGTTTACCTTCCCGCCAGAGTGGTACCTATTTATCTACTTGCACTTTGATGTGCTTTCGAACTGCTAGATTGGCAGGAGCTGGGACCAAGCAACGGGAGCTCACCCCGTCGCGGGGATTCGAACCGCCAACCTTCTGATCGGCAAGCTCTAGGCTCTGTGGTTTAGACCACAGCACCACCCGTGTCCCTTAATAGGTGCTTTAGTTCCAGGTTTAGCACTTAGTGCATGGATTCAAAAGAATAGATTATATTAATTCGGGTGACTGTCAGGTTGGCGCCAGGCTCCCCCACCCCTCCTTTGGCAGTAGAGAAGCAGAACAAAGCAAAAGGAGTCTCTTACCACTTAGAAATTTTAATGATCACAGAGGGAGAACAAAGCATCCATTCCTAGGATGAAGATGCTCCCAATTAAGGATATCACCCCCCCCACCCCCGTCACTTCCATGTCTTGCAACCTGAACTCGCAACCACTTTGCTTTCTGTTCTGCTACCTGACCTGCTCGCCATGACCTTGGGCTGAGCAGATGGACGCTTTCCAGCAAAAGAGAGTCTGTTAACTCTCTCTCTCTCCCTCCCAGTTCTTCCCAACTTCTGCCTTCTGAACTATGCCCCTCTGCAAACCACTGTTCCAAATCTATACTGTCCCACTGCTCCTGGGAAGATTCAGGATCCTCATCAGGAGCAGGGGGAGTTCCCACCATTCCTCCTCAGTGCAGCCCTCCTCAGCATGGTCCCTGACAGTTGGGGTGGTTTGCCCAAAATGGCCTTACAGGCCAAATGCAGAGTCTTGGCAGGTGCAATTAGAACCATGGGATTGCGGCGACCGATGCGGGTTCACCCACATACAACCCTAGCTTCAAAAGCCTTCAGAAGCTGGGCACACACACTCAGCAGAGTAAATAACGCTGCACAACAGAAGTGGCAGGGAGAGGCTGTGTTGAATATATTTACAAGCAGTTTATTCAGCAGACATCAGGACAAAAGGAAAAACATGTCTTCTCCCCCTCAGTGTCCAAAGCAAGCAGCATAAGCAAAAGCTATACACAAACAGAAGTTCCCAGCAAACTGTGCTGGAGTGTAAACAGACATATGACATACAACAGTCTCATGCCTGTCCCTTAAGGTGGAACGGAATATTCTAACAGTGTGTTCACCCTTGTCTCCCTTGCAGTGGAGTGCAGCGACAACCTCTTCACTCAGAGGAATGGGGTGATCAACAGCCCAGACTTCCCCAATTCCTACCCCAAAAGCTCTGATTGCTTGTACCGCATTGAGCTGGAAGAGGGTTTCTTCATTACGTTGGAGTTCAACGATAACTTTGACATTGAAGACCACCCAGAGGTCACCTGCCCATATGACTACATCAAGGTGAGCAGAGCAGCAAGCTGATCTGGCTTGAGTTCCACAGCGACTGGAAAATACCAGGAGGCCAGGGAGAAATCACACACACACACACACACACACACACACACACAACACCCTTGTGTTTTAAGTATGGTACGGTTGCACTTGACTTGCCTGATTCCAACCAGACACAAATGATGGTCTCGCCTTTTCTCTGCTCCTCCTTTGATTGTTTTTCCTGACAGATCAAAGCCGGGCGTCAGGAGTTTGGGCCTTTTTGTGGAGAGAAATCGCCAGGACACATCGAAACGAAGAGCAACAGCATTCAGATATTGTTCCACAGTGACAACTCTGGAGAGAATGGAGGGTGGAAGCTGTCCTACACGGCAATAGGTAATCTCCCCCGAGGCAACACTTCTTAGCCCCCACCTGTTCTATACACTTAGACCAGCAGCATCCCACTCCCAGAGAATCTTGGGTACCGTAGTCTGTTCAGGGTGCTGAGAGGCTCTTAGTGCCCGCACAGACCAGACTACCAGAGGAGAGAGGGGTCGTGTGCTCAGATCCTGATATATATATATATATAATTTTGAATGCAAAATTACAACAAAAATTACAAACATTGAATCCAAAATAAAACAGTACAAACAAGCAAAACAAAACAAAACACAAAAGAAAAAAGAACACAAAAACAGAACAAAAACACACATCTACAAATAAAACGATATCATCATTCTAATCTAATCCTTACATACATATACACATATTGACTTCCTTCCTTTGTTCTAAGACCTCGAAATTTTTACTCTTTCTAAGTTGTTGTGTCTAATGTAGATTACCTCTATACTTTTTACACCATTTTTCTCTTTCTTTAACCCTGCAAAGCATCATTCATTACATCCCGATATGCTTACTCCAGAACAATGTTTTTTCATATACTCTTTAGCACATCCCCATTCTTTTAATAATTTCTGGTCCGATTGTCCCCTTATGAATGCTGTGAGTCTTACCAGATTTATATATTCACAAAATTTAATTTGCCATTCTTTCATTGATGGAATTTTTCTCCCTTTCCAATTTTTTGCTATAAGCATCCTGGCAGCTGTTGTCACATAGAAGAATACTTTCCTTTGATTGTCAGGAATATCGTTTGTGATTATACCTAAAAGGAATGCCTCCGGTTTTTTACTAAAATATATTTTTAACATCTTTTTGATTTCTTCATATATTTCATTCCAAAATTGTTTAATAGGTCGGCATTCCCACCACATGTGAAACATTGTTCCTATTTCTTTCTTGCATCTCCAACATGTATTTGATTTTAATTTGTAAATTTTAGCCAATTTTACAGGAGTTAATTTTTTATATATAATGATTTTTATTGGTTTTTTAACACATATTTAACACAAACAATACACAATACAATAACAAACAAACACATAAACAAGTATAATTTCAAAACCTTCTTTTCTTGAACCCTGTTTCTCCGACTTCCCCATACCTTCCCTTTCTGCATCCCTATTTTCACAATTTTACCGGAGTTAAGTGCCATCGGTACACCATTTTCATCAAATTTTCTCTGCTTGTGTAACATGCCGTAAATTTGATATCACATTTCCATAATTTCTCCCATTGGTCCAGCTGAATTGCGTAACCTATATCACATGCCCATTCACCGTATTTTTGGCTCTATTAGACGCACCGGACCATAAGACGCACCTAGTTTTTAGGGGAGGAAAACAAGAAATAAGAAAGCAACACAAAGCCTCTTGAGCGAAGAGAGAGCGCTCCTCCCACTTCGCTCAGAAGGCTTTGCGGGGCTATCCTGAAACCAGGAGAGCAAGTGGGATTGGTGAGCACCGATCCCGCTTGCCCTCCAGGCTTCAGCGAAAGCAAGCCTCCTGGCTTTCCCCCCACCTCCCACAAGAGCCGCACACTCTTTAAAGGGAGCGTGGCTCATGGGGCCTTTTCTGGGAGGTGGGGGAAGGGACAGAGCCACGCACTCTGTCCCTTCCCCCACCTCCCGCAAAAGCCAGGGATAGCCGCGCGAAGCCTCTGCAGGGCAGCGGGATGAAGGCTCCCCACTGCCCTGTGGAGGCTTCGCGCCGCTAAGGCAGAAGCTAGAACAGCGAGAGGGAGCGCTGCGCACCTTCCCCTGCCAGCCCCAAAGAGCAGCGCAGGAGCATGCCGCACTCCGGCAATTTAGCTCCAGGGACCACACATTTGCTCCATAAGACGCACAGACATTTCCCCTTAGTTTTTAAAGAGGGAAAAGTGTGTCTTATGGAGCGAAAAATACGGTAGTCATAACTCAGATCCTGCCTCCGGGTTTCCCACAGGCATTTGATTGGCCACCGTAAGAACAAGATGCTGGCCTGATCCAGCTGGCTTTTCTTATGTTCTTAATTCCTAAAGTGGTTTAAAGTCAGTCCCTCTTCCCAGGGAACTCTGTTGCTCTGGGAAGGGAACAGGGGTCTCCTAGCAACTCTCAGCACCCTCCACAAACTACAGTTCCCAGGATTCCTTGGGTGCAGCCAAGAGCGTTTAAAGCAGTGGTTCTCAAACTTTTTTCTCTGAGCCACACTTGCAGAATAAAAATTTGCTCACGCCACACTGAATTTTTTAATTGATAAGAAATACATTGGAAAATAACATTGGAACCAGGCAGAGGGCCTTCTCGGTGGTGGCACCCAACCTGTGGAACGCCCTCCCATCAGATGTCAAGGAAATAAACAACTATCCAACTTTTAGAAGACATCTGAAGGCAGCCCTGTTTAGGGAAGTTTTAAATGTTTGAAGTTTTCTTCTGTTTTTAATGTTCTGTTGAAAGCCGCCCAGAGTGGCTGGGGAAACCCAGCCAGATGGGTGGGGTATAAATAATAAATTATTATTATTATAAAACAAAAAGGGAAAGCTCCTAGCAGTGCTTAACTTATACCATAGAACACAACTGCCTTATGATATGATCATGGGACATCCCGAAAGTATAAAGCAATGCAGCTACTTCAATGATTCCCAAAATATAATTATAAACTATACCTTAAGTATGTATACAAACCTATTGAGAAGTGTGAGCTTGCTTTTGCAGGGGTATCTCATTTATAAGAGGTCTAATTTGAGACAAACAAACTCTCATCTCCTCGTCAACACAAAGAAGCTTTTCTTTTTTCCGATCTTTCATATTTTTTTGATTATCCTTCAATCTTCCAGCCACACTTGCCATTCTCTTTTTTTCCTTTCCAAAAAAATTTTATTCATTTTATAACACAAATAAACAACACAAACAGAAAAACAAACAATACAAACAGATTCTTGTCTTTCTAAACATTGTTAGGTGGTGTCAGGGAACTGACATCAGAGGCACGGGAGAAGGAGAGGGTCTCTGATTCTGCAGGAGAAGGTCCCAGCGCTAGGGGGAGACTCAGCTAGGAAGAAGGGGAAGGGAATAAGTGTAACACCAGGGATCCAGGAGAGCAACGGGACAGGGAGGGGAAGGGGCTCCAGGACTCTTCGTTGGATGTTAGTGAGGAGAGCCCAGGCACCCCGCTACCCACGCCCACGCAGTGAGAGGCGGAGACGATTGGGCGTCAAACAACTCTTATGTTGGCAGCTGTCAGGGGTTCAGGAGCAGAGGCACAGGAAAGGGAGGAAACAGAGAGCGAGGGGGAGGAATCCGAAGGAAATATGAGCGATGACAGCGGCCCGAGATCTCTGAGTCTTTCCAGTGAATCGGAAGATTCACAGAAAGGGGCGCCAGTGGTCAGAGCAAGGGGGGCGCCTAGGGGGACACCCCAGGAAGAAGGGACCAGAGGGGACTCAGAGAGCAGCAGTTGGAAATCGGGACCAGCTTCCCCACCAGAGCGCAGTAGGGGGGAGGAGTCTCAGGTATCGGGATCAGGCAGCTCGCCGCAAGCGGGAGGGCATGAGTCAGGATTGGCCACACCTCCATCGGGGAGCGAGGAAACGGTCAAGCGGAAAGTGGAAGGCTGGGCGCGCGCGCCAAGTTCAAATGCACAGGAAGGCGGCACAGTAAGCAGCCCGGATAGGGAGCCAGGTCCTAAAGCCCGCCGCAAGGAGGGAGAAGAGTCCGGGGGGTCAGCGTCAGAAGAGTCCAGAAAGGAAGAGACCACGGGGGGCAGAGGGAGCCAGAGGAGGAAGGAAAGACGGAAGAGGTGGAGTAAGGCTAGAGTATTAAGTTGGTGTACAGGAGGCGGAGACTCAGACGGAGCTTCGCCGGTCTAGCTTCTAAGACGTAGAGCTGCGCGCTGCGGCTTGGAAATGGAAACTGTAACTCAATAAAGACTTTTGTACATTACTGCCGGCTAGCGTGGTCCTCTGTGAGCTGGGACCTGGAAGCAGCTCTGACAGCAGCGTTTTAAGAAACGCCCACAGACAGATTCTACGAGTGACTAAGGGCAGCCACGCTGAGATGGGCTGTGCAGTCTGGAGGGTTTAACCAGGCAAGCTAATGCTCAAACGGAGCAGGATTACGCACGAGTAACTCCCAACCACTACAGGTGGGCTTCCCCAAGTCCCCCCATCTGATTTTCATTTTACCTCATCTTTAGCAGTTTACATATATAATAATTTCTAACCATTTATTTTTACCACACTTACTTTAACCATAAAAATATTCACATTCTATCACTTACAAATAATACTATTTTAAAATACGCTATCTTCTACTTCTAACCCTACAGCCTATATCCACTTCCAAAGCTATTCTAAGATTTAAATATTAACATATTTTTTTCCTTAAACTTCTTCCAGTCTTCTTCCACCGTCTCTTCTCTCTGGTCTCGGAGTCCCCCAGTCAGTTTGGCGAGTTCCATATACAGTGGTAGCTCGGGATGCGAACGGGATCTGTTCCGGAGCCCCGTTCGCATCCCGAACGGAACGCAAGACGCAACGGCGCATCTGTGCATGAGCGGGTCGCGTTTTGTCACTTCCGCGCATGCGCGTGACATCATTTTGCACGCATGCGCAAGCGGCGAAACCCGGAAGTAACGTGCTCCGTCACTTCCGGGTCACCACAGAGCACAACCCAAACATGCTCAACCTGAAGCACATTCAACTTGAGGTATGACTGTAGTCCATCATCTTCATCTGCCCTTCTTCAATAGTTGGTAAATCTTGTTTCTTCCAATTCTTCACTAGCAATATTCTCGCAGCTGTTGTGGCATACAGAAAAAAAGTAACATCCTTTTCACACTTTCCATTCTCTCCTGCCACTGCACACCCTTTGGGAACCACGGGTTTAAAGCAATATGATACTACTTTCAATGTATGGTTCAGGTGGGACCTTGAGCTTGCATGCAAGTAATTATTATTATTATTATTATTATTATTATTATTATTATTTATTTATTTATTTATTTATTTATTTATTTATACCCCACCCCAGCCACTCTTTCAATACATCTTCTGGCACTTTATCTCCAAATAAATACTGCATGGGGGGGCCAACTTTCCAAATGCAAATGCATTTATTTATTTTACTTTATTTTATTGAAGCTCATTAAACTGCATGCCCACTAAAATCAAGATGTTGGTTGCTCATCAGCCTCATCCTTCTGCTGCGTTTGCCCACTGAAATCTGCGTCAAATTATGGTCTGGCTGAGCATCAGTCGCCTGAATCAAACACAGAGGAATAATTCCCGACCACTCACCACCAGCGCAGATTGTAAAATGTCAGGACCACCAAGGAAAGTGTAAATTTTACACAACATGCAATTATTTGCAGAAAGAACCCAATAATATAATAGCTACTGGGCACAGCTATACAAAAAAAATTTTTTTTTTAAAATGCAGCTTGACGGCTTAACTCAAACATGCAATTCAATTGCCTAACAATTTGGGGGAAATGGCTTCTAAATGGAATAATAAAATGCATAATGTTTGTTGAAAGAAGGAGATAAATGGATAAATTCTCTGTTATGAATAAACAACACTGCTATTTTTAAATATATACATACACCGCATGTTATAATTGTGTCTCAAATTCATTAAATTAATTGCTTTCTGTGAATAATTACATGTTGTGTGGAATGTGCAGGGGATCCTGATCTTTTCTAACCTATGTCTGAGACATCAATTTCTTGGTAAGATGCCAAGCCAGGCATTTCACTCCAAGAGAAGCACAATTTTGCCCCCTGAGGTCCCATGTTGTTGTTTAGTCGTGTCCGCATCTTCGTGACCCCCTGGACCAGAGCATGCCAGGCACTCCTGTCTTCCACTGCCTCCCGCAGTTTGGTCAAACTCATGCTGGTAGCTTTGAGAACACTGTCCCACCATCTCGTCCTCTGTCGCCCCCTTCTCCTTGTGCCCTCCATCTTTCCCAACATCAGGGTCTTTTCCAGGGAGCCTTCTCTTCTCATGAGGTGGCCAAAGTATTGGAGCCTCAGCTTCAGGATCTGTCCTTCCAGTGAGCACTCAGGGCTGATTTCCTTCAGAATGGATCGGCTTGATCTTCTTGCAGTCCATAGGACTCTCAAGAGTCTCCTCCAGCACCAGAATTCAAAAGCATCAAATCTTTGGCAATCAGCCTTCTTGATGGTCCAGCTCTCACTTCCATACATCACTACTGGAAAAACCATAGCTTGAACTATATGGGCCTTTGTTGGCAAGGTGATGTCTCTGCTGAGGTGAGGCCCCATATTTATTCTCAAATGGCACCACCACCATTCTCCCACATTCCACCTTTCCGCAGCTTACAAATCCCAGTCCATTTCCTGCCATGTTGGAAGGGCAACAAGGAGAGATGGAGACACAGTCCAGGCTTCTCTGCAGCTTCGCTTCCAGTTTCCCTTCACATTCACGCAGAAGTTTATTCCATTTCCCTGTTAAATATTTCTATGTTATAACTGAGCTTTTGCACAACACAAAAGCCACTCCCAGAACTCTAGCAGAGTACAGTGCAGGTCTAGTGTTCATTTCTGGGGGGCGCTGTTTGCAAATAACACAGAAATAAACACTAAACTGGTGTTATATTCTGTCATATTTCCGGAAGTGGCTTCTGTGTCATGTGAAAGCTCAAATAAAATGTGGAGAGTAACGAGGAAATGTCAGGGAAAGCGTGTTGTCCTTAGTAGAGAGCATGTGTTGCGGAGGGGTCTAGCAGCCCATCCCACTGTTCCTGGCCAGATCCGTTTGGATGGTTGCAGGCTGCGATTGGGCAATTGAATTTCTGGGGAGATTTTGATCTTGCCAATTTGTGGGTTGGGCCCAAAGGTTTTAAATACTGGACACGCAGCTTTGGGCGTCCTCTTTTGCTGCGTGCACCGGATCACCCGCCCACCCTCCCAGAACTGGGGATTTTGTGCTTGGCCTTGCTATGCCTGTCATGGGGCCTGGTAGGAATTTTGTCCATTTGGCTGACTGGCTGGAGCCATTTGGTTTTTGCCTACTGTGTAGCAAATCGTCACAACTTGTAAGGTTTGCGGTTAAAGGTAAAGGTAAAGGGACCCCTGACCATTAGGTCCAGTTGTGACCAACTCTGGGGTTGTGGCGCTCATCTCGCTTTACTGACCGAGGGAGCCGGTGTACTGCTTCCTGGTCATGTGGCCAGCATGACTAAGCCACTTCTGGCGAACCAGAGCAGCGCATGGAAAAGCCATTTACCTTCCCTCCGGAGTGGTACTTATTTATCTACTTGCACTGGTGTGCTTTCGAACTGCTAGGTTGGCAGGAGCAGGGACCGAGCAATGGGAGCTCACCCCGTCATGGAGATTCAAACCGCCGACCTTCTGATCGACCTTCTGTGTTCAGCCGGGCTTGCTCTCAGCGGCTTAGAAGCACCACACTTCTGTTCTGGTTCCTGCCCATTGATCCTTTGGCAGATGGTCGCTGCTGCACCTCTCAGCTTTTCCATGCCGAGAAATCCAGAAGCAATTATTCCATTTCCTCCTTGAGCTGAGTCACAGAGAGTGGTTTGGATGCACCAGTGAAAAGGGCACAGAACTCTACGTTTTCGGTCCAAGAGGACAGGAGTCGTTCTTTTCCTCTCCAGAAACATTTGCGCACTTTCACAGAATCGCAGAATTGCAGGGTTCGTTGTCCAACCCCTTCCAGTGCAGGAACCGCAGTTGTTCCCTCTTCAGTGCTTAACATTGCAGCTGCACCTTCTAGAGCCGCTTAACGTTGCATCTGCATCTTCTAGGGCAGCTTAACATTGCATCTGCATCTTCTGGAGCAGACTGCTGCAACATGATGCCCTTTAAGCCTATCCGATTTACAAAAAAAGGTAAAACAATAAAATTCTCACAAAGAAAAATTAACAACAATGGTACCTCGGGTTAAGTACTTAAATCGTTCTGGAGGTCCGTACTTAACCTGAAACTGTTCTTAACCTGAAGCACCACTTTAGCTAATGGGGCCTCCAGCTGCCGCCGCGCCACTGAAGCCTGATTTCTGTTCTCATCCTGAAGCAAAGTTCTTAACCTGAAGCACTATTTCTAGGTTAACGGAGTCTGTAACCTGAAGTGTATGTAACCCGAGGTACCACTGTAATTTTCCATAGTTAAAATACCAACAGGCTAAAAGCAGATTAAGACTCACAGGACCTTTCTAAACATCTGGGTAGGCTTGTCCAAACAAAAAATAAAAATATTTTTGACGAGGCACCGAAACAGTACAATGAAAGCGCCTGTTTAGTATCAATCGGCAGGGAGTTCCAAAGCGTAGGCACTGCTTCACTAAACGACTTGAGTTCTTACCAGTGCAAAACAGACAATACTTGACACCTGCAGTAGGGACAGTTCCTCCAATTGAAGTGGTTTGAGTGGGCAGCTAAATGGTCTTAAGTTGCGTAGTTTATTTCATTTCCAAAATGTCACGATCCTCACCTGGGGGCTCCTCCCTTTTCTTTCTCTCTGCCTGCTTGCGCCCCACAGGAGACCCCTGTCCACTTGTGGAGCCTCCTCCCCACGGCAAGATCGAGCCCTCCCAGGCCACTTACACCTTCAAGGACCAGGTGGTCGTCAGCTGCAACACCGGATACAACATCCTAAAGGTACGTTTGGGGGGCTATGGCAGCACTTAGAGCATGTTCCCTTGCACATTCTAGAATTACAGAAGGCATTCCGGCTTCTGATTGGATCCCGGAATGTCCTGTTTCCCCCTTCCAGCGCTGCTGAGGTCAGGGAGGAGGATGAGCTTGTAGCGGTACCATCATTCATTCATTCATTCATTCATTCATTCATTCATTCCCCGCCCATCTGGCTGAGTTTCCCCAGCCACTCTGGGCACCTTCCAATAGAATATTAAAGACACGATAAAACTTCAAGCATTAAAAACTTCCCTGTACAGGGCTGCCTTCAGATGTCTTCTAAAAGTCAGATAGTTGTTTATTTCCTTGACATCTGATGGCAGGGCGTTCCACAGGGCGGGCGCCACCACCGAGAAGGCCCTGTCTTTTTACTTCTTGCAATGAGGGAACTGCCAGAAGACCCTCAGCACTGGACCTCAGTGTCTGGGCTGGACGATGGGGGTGGAGACGCTCCTTCAGGTATACTTGACCGAGGCTCTTTAGGACTTTCAAGGTCAGCACCAACACTTTGAATTGTGCTCGGAAACGTACCGGAAGCCAATGGAGGTCTTTCAGGATTGGAGTTGCCATGCTGTCTTGCGGCACCAAAAAGCACAGCTGCTGACTCGTGCAAGAGAGCAGCACCCAAAGACACGCGTCCCAGTTTAGTCCAGTGGAAAGTTGGAGGGTATGCTACTGGAAGCCCAGCTGAGGGCTCCGTCACATTTGCCTCGTTGGTCCCAAAATTAACCAATTGGAAAGGGGTGTTGCCCAGTGATAGAGCATCTGCTTTTCATGGAGAATGTCTCAGGTTCGATTCCTGGTATCATCAGTAGGGCTGGAAAGACCTACGCTGAAACCCTAGAGAAGTGCTGCCAGCCAGTGCAGACAGTATCAGTTAGCTGGACCAATAGTCTCACTCAGCATACGGAAACTTCCATTGTTCTACTTTCAATGCTATAAAAAGGTAAAGGGACCCCTGACCATTAGGTCCAGTTGCAGACGACTCTGGGGTTGTGGCGCTCATCTCGCTTGATTGGCCGAGGGAGCTGGTGTACAGCTACCGGGTCATGTGGCCAGCAGGACTAAGCCACTTCTGGCGAACCAGAGCAGCGCATGGAAACACCATTTACCTTCCCGCCGGAGCGGTACCTATTTATCTACTTGCACTTTGACGTGCTTTTGAACTGCTAGGTTGGCAGGAGCAGGGACCGAGCAACGGGAGCTCACCCCGTCGCGGGGATTCGAACTGCCGACCTTCTGATCGGCAAGTCCTAGGCTCTGTGGTGTAACCCACAGTGCCACCCACGTCCCTACTTCAATGCTATACCTTCTTGCTTAAAACATCTTGTTTTGCATTTTTGGTCATTAGCCTCTTTGGACTATGAACTGGAGGAAAGGCAGGGTTTCTTAAACACAAAAACCTAGAGGGGTCGTCTAGAGCAGTGTTCCCCAATCTTGGGCCTCCAGCTGTTTTTGGACTACAATTCCCATCATCCTTGACCACTGGTCTTGCTAGCGAGGGATGATGGGAGTTGTAGTCCAAAAACAGCTGGAGGCCCAAGGTTGGGGAACACTGGTCTAGAGGACCTCTTTATTGACCACCCACCCTGATTAGTTTGCACAATGCCTGCATGGAGGTCAGATTCAGTCTTTATTGAGCATTTGTTTACAGGGCAGTTATACAACAACTGGAAGCTGCTTTTTAATTACAGCTTCTATTTTTTTCTTCATATATTTTAATTATTGCTTTTGACTAGTTCGTTTTTATTACTATTTCGAACCGCAGCTGGGAAATAACTGACAAGGAGCATTCATCCTAAATTCATCCTGATTTATTAACAGAGTGTTTAGATTTCACAGAATCATAGAATGTGGGACCCCCAAGGGACATCTAGTCCAACCCTGTGCAATGCAAGAATCTCAGCTCAAGCATCCATGACAGTTGGCCATCCAACCTCTGTTTAAAAACCTCCAAGGAAGGAGAGTCTACCACCTCCCAAGAGAGTCTGTTCCACTGTCAAACAGCTCTTATTGTCGGAAAGTTCTTCTGATATTTAGTTGGAATCTCCTATCTTGTGACCTGAAGCCATGGGTTCAAGTCCTATCTTCTGGAGCAGGAGAAAACGAGCTTGTTCCGTCTTCCATGGGACAGCCCTTTGGAGATTTGAAGATGGCTTCCCTATCTCCTTTCAGTCCCCTCTTTTCCAGGCTAAACATCCCCAGATCCTTCAGGCTTAGTTTCTTGAGGGTGCTCCCTCCAGAGCATAGCTGTCAACTTACAGATTTGAAAATAAAGGACCAGCAGCCTCTAAAATAAGGGATCAGCAGCCAAAATAAGGGATTTTAGTCAACCAGCAGCCAAACGAAGCCTCAAGCGGTGGTTCCCACAGCGCAGCAACCCGGCAAAGGGGATGCAGCAAGGAAAACCACCGTCACCTCTCTGCTGGGAAGCACTGAGCAAAGGCGATTCCCCAAGCAACACGGCCGATTTGATGGGCACAAGGCATGCAAGCTCCACCCCCCAGTCGTTCTTAGACTCCTTATTGGGTGAGCAACGCAGCCAAGCAACCCAGTTGGAGCCTCCCTCCTCCCTGGCCGGCAGGGAGGGAGGGAGAGGAGCTGCTTCCTTTGAAACCCGGGAAATTTAAGGGACATCATCAATAAGGGACAGCAGCGGGACACAGCACTGGGATAAGGGACTTTCCTGCCAAATAAGGGACGCTTGACAGCTATGCTCCAGAGGTGTGATCAGGAAGCCTTCATAGCAGTTGCATTTTACCCCTCCCTCTTCCACAATGCTCCCTCGTTGCTTCTTTGCAGGATGGCGTGGAGAGCGAGACGTTCCAGATCGAGTGCATGAAGGATGGCTTGTGGAGCAACAAGGTCCCTATCTGCAAAAGTAAGCCCCTCTTTCCATCCTTTCCTAAGCGCTGGCATAAAGGGACACGCCTCGGATGAGATCAAAATATCCATCAACATTCTTCTTGTCTGGATGGGGTATTCTAAACAAAATATGGCTTTAGCCAGCGCCAAAAAGAACTCAGGGAGGGCGCCTGCCGGGTGTCAATAGGCGGGGAGTTCCAGAGTTTAGGGGCTGCCACGCTAAGCGATCAATTTCTTACAAATGCAGAGCGGGTTTTACGTATGTGGCACCCGTAACAGATTGAATTGGGCAAGAGGGAGTATGGACTGCGCATTCAGGAGCCTCTTCCCTCCAGTTGATCCTCAGTGAGGTGCTCACTCCAGATGATAATAATAATAATAATAATAATAATTATTATTATATTATTATTATTATTATTATATTATTAATTATTTATACCCCGCCCATCTGGCTGGGCTTCCCCAGCCACTCTGGGCAGCTTCCAAAAAAATATTAAAATACTGTAATACATCAAACATTAAAAGCTTCCCTAAACAGGGCTGCCTTCAGATGTCTTCTAAATGTCAGATAGTTGTTTTTCTCTTTGACATCTGGTGGGAATGCATTCCACAGGGCGGGTGCCACTACCGAGAAGGCCCTCCGCCTGGTTCCCTGTAACTTGGCTTCTTGCAGTGAGGGAACCACCAGAAGACCCTCAGCGCTAGACCTCAGTGTCCTGGCTGAATAATGGGGGGTGGAGACGCTCCTTCAGGTATACTGGACCGAGGCCATTTAGGCCTTTAAAGGTCAGCACCAACACTTTGAATTGTGCTCGGAAACATACTGGGAGCCAGTGTAGGTCTTTCAAGACTGGTGTTATGTGGTCTCGGCGGCCGCTCCCAGTCACCAGTCTAGCTGCTGCGTTCTGGATTAGTTGTAGTTTCTGGGTCACCTTCAAAGGTAGCCCCACGTAGAGCGCATTGCAGTAGTCCAAGCGTGAGATAACTAGAGCATGCACCACTCTGGCGAGACAGTCCACAGGCAGGGAGGGTCTCAGCCTGCGTACCAGATGGAGCTGGTAAACAGCTGCCCTGGACACAGAATTGACCTGCGTCTCCATGGACAGCTGTGAGTCCAAAATGACTCCCAGGCTGCGCACCTGGTCCTTCAGGGGCACAGTTACCCCATTCAGGACCAATGAGTCCTCCACACCTGCCCACCTCCTGTCCCCCAAAAACAGTACTTCTGTCTTGTCAGGATTCAACCTCAGACTGTTTGCTGCCATCCATCCTCCAACCGCCTCCAGACACTCACGCAGGACCTTCACCGCCTTCACTGGTTCTGATTTGAAAGAGAAGTAGAGCTGGGTATCATCCGCATACTGATGAACACCCAGCCCAATGATTAAGGATTCCAGACTAACAAACACACAAGACCCACCCCCCTCCCCCCGGGTACCGTTTGGCAACACTGAGTGTGATCAATAACTTAGTGCCTTCCCTCCTTGCTTGGGGAATTGAGGCTGTGCATCCTTTTGTGAATGGCTCCTGGTGTTACTGGCTGCCTCCTGCATGCTCTCCCTCTCGCCGCCTGACTACTAATTCTGGCTTTCTCTTTCTCCGCTTCCTGCCCTTCCTGGCCCCTTCTCTGGACTTTCCTCCCTCCCTCCTCTTCTGCCTTCGGAACAGTTGCTGGAGCTGAAACAACAAACAACAGGACGGAGATCAAAGAGGAGGTGGAGCCCGTGGCAGACTGACCAAGGTGTCTTGCGCACGGCACCGTTCAGAGAGCGGGTGGTCCAAAGACCTTACCTGGGGGCCGCTTCTGCCACCACCCCAGTCACCTTTCACAATTTGAGGGGAGGCGCCAGCTCCCCAGTTTCTGCATTCATTATGCCTCGGATCCTCTTTCTGCTCGGACACGCTCTTGACTCTGGGATTGGCGATAGAGAAAGCAGAACATAGGCATCAATGCACGGCGTGAAACAAAAATGTGCTCCATAATTGGGGGAGTAACTCCAGTGATGGCTTCCACAGGTGTGGGGCATGCATGCGCTGTTTGCCTCTGTTTAGTTCTCTGCTTTGGGACACTCCATGCCTGCATCCACACGAATGAAAAAAAATATTTTTTCAAGGACTGGCTGAGCTAACTCTGCTTTTCTTGGTGATGGGCTGTTCCCCCCCCCCCTTTGCTCAATGTTAACTCATTTCCTGACTTTTACCCCAGCACTGAGATGGAAGGTCCAAGTCTCTCTCTTTTAACATGGTGTTACATCTATCGTTCCTGAATTCAACCGGCTGAAAAGCAAGTCTGGGGTGAGCGGCAGACCCCTTTAGATGCTTCAAATCCAGCAAGCATCAGTAAACGCATGGGGCGATTAGGATCGTAGCGGCAGGCCCCGCCTCTGACTTCCATGCGCTGACCATGTGCACCTTCAGATCAACTCATGGAAGCCAAAGTGGGTCCTCTAGAGGTCCTGTTTGTTGAGCGGTCGTCTTGATTTGGTTGCACAAAGCTTATGCAGAAGTTAGACTATGGCCCCATCTGCCCTATGCACTTAAAGCGCTGTGATGCCACGTTAAACAGTCACGATTTGCCCCAGAGAATCCTGGGAAGTGTAATTCGTTAAGGGTGCTGAGAATTGGTAGGAGGCCTCTTATTCCCCTCCCAGAGCTGCAATTGCTAGAGCGGTTTAAGAATCAACCCATCTTCGAGGGAACTCTGGCACCCTTAAGAAGCTCTTCGTTGCAAAGCTCTGTGTATTGATGAAGTGCGCTGCCCGCTTTTAAAATTAGTTTCATTTTACTTTTTGCTAATATGCAAAATTATGCTGATTGAAGGGCTGGCAGCTTTTCTTTCGCATGGTGCTCCGGTTCCTGACAGGCAGAAATCCAGCAGGTGAAGCTTTTCCTAGCATGAAAACGCAGTGTTGGGGAAAGTGGAACCTCCCTGATTTCTGTTTCTCGGGCAACAATTTTATCTGCATATCTGGTTGGGGGGGGGCAAGTTGTTAAGTTTGGGTGCTTTGGTGGGATTTTTAAAGCATTTTTAAAAAACAAAAAACTCCACCCTACTTGCCGTGCATCTGGGGTTTTCACAGACACTTTGCCAATTCAGCAAAAAACCGCCTGGACAGCCATAGCAAACAGTGTACACAAAACGGAAGATAAAGAGCAGGTCCAATTATTACTCCCCCAGCTTAGAGACCCAAGCAGATGCCTCCCACTGTAATGATCCAGCTCCTCTAACTCACATAGAAGCATGAAGGAAAAGGAATAAAGTGCCAAGATTGATCTCCACTGTCATGAGGCCAGCGTCCAAATAAAAAAAGGAGATTAAATTTCAGAGGGAACGCACCCTCTCGCCATGAATCACACTCCAATTCCGGAAGGTCAACACATCAGCGTACATTGCAAGGTGGCATAGCTACAATTCCCAGACGAGATGCCTTGATTAAGGCAAGGTAACTCTGCTCATCTAGAAGTTAGGCAGATTAGGTTTCTTAGCAACCATAGTAGAATCATAGAATCATAGAATCATGGAGTTGGAAGAGACCACAAGGGCCATCGAGTCCAACCCCCTGCCAAGCAGGAACCACCATCAGAGCACTCCTGACATATGGTTGCCAAGCCTCTGCTTAAAGACCTCCAAAGAAGGAGACTCCACCACACTCCTTGGCAGCAAATTCCACTGTCGAACAGCTCTTACTGTCAGGAAGTTCTTCCTAATGTTTAGGTGGAATCTTCTTTCTTGTAGTTTGGATCCATTGCTCCGTGTACGCTTCTCTGGAGCAGCAGAAAACAACCTTTCTCCCTCCTCTATGTGACATCCTTTTATATATTTGAACATGGCTATCATATCACCCCTTAACCTCCTCTTCTCCAGGCTAAACATGCCCAGCTCCCTTAGCCGTTCCTCATAAGGCATCGTTTCCAGGCCTTTGACCATTTTGGTTGCCCTCCTCTGGACACGTTCCAGTTTGTCAGTGTCCTTCTTGAACTGTGGTGCCCAATGGAAGAGTAATGGAAGAGCCAGTTCACAAGCAAAGGTATTTGCTGGCATTGGGCTGATTCACACATTGGCTGTGGTTCCCTCATTGCAGGGGGTTGGACTAAAGGACTTTTGCAGTCCCTTCAAACTCTGCAATTCTGTGATTCTTTGCTGTTCAGCAGGCACAGCCCGTGTGGTACCCTTTAGGTGTTGCTGAACTACAATTCCCATCATCCTTGGCAGCTGGTCGGGGTGGCTGGGGCTGATGGAAGTTGAAGTTCAATAACTGGAGGGCATCACATTGACTCGCCCTTATGCATGTATTGAGTCATAGGACCAAAAGCAATGCGAATGTTCAGTGATGTATTTAACTTGTTGAGCCAATTGTGTGCAACACTCCAGGCCTGCTACTTCTATGCTATATTTGGAGGGGTGCACTTTGAATTATGGATGGGGGATAAACTCAGTTCAGTTCACATTTAAAGGTGAGCCTACATAATTCACACTTTCTGAAGCAGTGTGAGAGCCGTTGACACGGCCATCCTTCAAAATTCACGCTTCTCCTAATTTTGCAGCGCAGGTCTCCAGCCAAATAATGTAGACATAAATGCATATACCAGGGTAAAGAGGACACAGCAATGCATACATTCGTCAAAATAACATACAAGAATGCATTGTATTAGATGAAACTGGTTTTACCAAAAAAAAAAAAGTGTATATGATGCACAATCACACAGGAAAAAAATGTGTATATCAGGTGAAATTTGCACTAAAAATGTTGATGGGTTTTCACGAGGATTAGGATTAGGAAATGGGAAGAACCACTTGGAAGATATTGCATTTGTTCCGTTTTGTTGGTGGGGAGCCTTTGCAGTTCATTTTGGTTTGCATGCATAGCACTCATGCATCTTCCTGTTACTCATTCGTTCATCCCCCAGTTTTTTTAAAAAAATAATTTTTTATTGGTTTTTTCACAGTGTTATACATTTTAACATAACCATTTCAAACATTAAATTACAAGGTTCCTTTGAAGCTTTGGACCTCCT